ATAAGCCCCCTTGTTGAACCCTGCTTGTGTTGTCTCTCTCTTTGGCTTTCTCTAAAAATACACGCACATATTACATATGTATGTATTATGTACGTGCAGAGGCATGTGTATATATATATATATGCACTTGCAGTATATGTACCCCTTGTTGTTACCCTGTGAACCCTTTTGTGCATGTGTGGCTCCTGCTTTGCATTGGCAGCCCTCGGGGATGGAAGCCCCCGTGGAGCGCGCCGGACAGGCCACCGCTTGGCAGCTGCCGGAGAAGAACGGAGCCTCTCCAACGCAGATATCAGGGAAACATCCATATATATATATATATATGATTATACATATATATATACATATATATACATATATATATATATATGTGTAATTTGTGTTCTGCAAGAGTTCTTCCCTCGCAGGCTACGCAAGGAGGCTTCGGGGCCGGGAGGGACAGGGGGTGGATATCCAGAAAATGCTGCAACTGCTCCACAGGATGCGCCCTCCCGGACTTGAGCAGGCCCGAATCTCCGAACCCTGACAGGCTTGGCAGTCATTTGACAGTCTGTCTGGGTCCTTCGTGGTGGCTTCGATCGTCCTGCCAAGGTGCCGGTCTGTGCTCGGCACTACTTTGCTATTGGTGGGCTTGACGCTCTGACAAAAGTGATCAGCGGCTATCTGCGCAATCTTCGTGGCCAGATCCACAGCTAAAGAATCTAAGAACATGGTCTCCAGGAAAGAGGTTCACTGGCTGGAACCCGATGAGACATCATCGTCATCAAACGTCATCAAGGGTTCTACCCACATGAATGCCCAGCGCACCCTTGGTAGCCGCCGCTGCATGCACAGCCGCTTGGTACATCCTGCAACTCAAAAGCAGGTGACAGCAACTGTCTTCGCGAGCTCCGAAACCCCAGACCCTAAACCCGACATCAGAGATCGGGTCCGTGCCCACAGAGTTCGCCGGGCATGCCACGGCATCGCAGCAAGCGGCCTCAGGACTTTTTCAACAATCACCTTCTTAGCCCCAAGCGCTACACCCGGAAAACCGAAACTTAACACCCTACACTCCCAAAAGCCCCCTAAGCCACCCCCCCCCCCCGGGCCCAAATCCAAAACAATCTAAAACAACCCTAAAAAACACCCCCCACCCCAAAGAAACCCTAACGCAACCCTGAACAACGCCGAACAAACCCCTTGAAAGCCACATGTTGCACCCTCAACCCTCAACCCTCAACCCTAATCCCTAACCCTAAACTCTAAACCCGAAACGCCAGAGGACAAGGTTGTTCCCGATGGTGCTGCCCTTCTTTGGCTTGTAGCCCTTGGGGCAGCTGAACAAACCTGCAGCAAGAGCTTTGGGGGTTTGGGGCTTCATGATTTAGGGTTTCGGCGTTTAGGAGTTTAGCGTCTTTTGGGGGGCTTTTTGGGTTTGGGGGTCTAGGGGTTGGAGCTAAACACTGTAGGGTTTAGGGTTTGGGGCTGATATTGCTTAGGGCTTCGGCATGGGGCTTGAGGATACGAAGCGCGCAACAGCCTGTTTAGACTTTAGAGCCTTTCTTCCAGGCATGAGGGTTGAGGGCTTCGGGGTATTGAGCCTGTTTTCCAAGCATGAAACAGACCCATGGAGAGCAACAGAGCTCCGCCACCTCCAACTCCAACCAATCTTCTTCCTGCCTCCTCCACCCCTTCTACCCCCCCGCCCTTCTACCCCCTAAACTCCATAAACTCCCTGAACTCCCTAAAACTCCCAAAACCTCCCTACCCTAAGCTCCCAAACTCCCTAAACCCGAAACTCCACACACCGTGGCTTGCCCATGCTGCAAAGCTGCTGCAGGTGGCGACGCAGGAGCCCGAGTAGAAGGGCGAGCCTGAGACCATCTCCCCTGAACTCTGAGCTTAACGACGGGTTCAAGGGCCCTTCGGGGCTGAGAAAAATCTGACAGAGTTCTGCCAACTTCCCTACTGGGCTACAGAGGGGAGCCTCATGGGGTGAAGCAGTAGGTTGAAATCAAGGGTCCCATTTCGGGGCTTGGGGGCTGTACCCCAGACACTGACAGAGCGCCCGTGCGGCCAACTGCTGCAAAAGAGCTGGTTGTCGCCTTGATGCTACCGGAATAGCCGGTGCTACAAGTGCATCCAGAAGGAACCTGAGTCCAGCGCTGGGGACTGCAGGAGTCTTCGGGCAGCTTGGGGAGGGTGTGTTTCATGCCTATTTTTGGCCTCGAGAACTCGGCAAAGCCCGGGAGCCTTGCATCGTGGCATTGACGTTGCTGTCGCAAAGCAGAGAGCACGTCAGAATTCTGCTTTTCCCAATCCGCTGACGGTCTCAACCAAAGATAGCAAAGATAATTTGGATGAATCTAGAATCATTTCTGGAAGCTCAGCCTTGTTGCAGCGGAGTGGCATTGGTACCCTGGGAATTCGCTGGGCAGCTCACCTGAATACATGGGAGCTGATCAAGACACCTGCTCCCCAAAATCACCCCTGTATTTCCCATACTACCCATAGGACCACCGAACAGTTTCCCACCCTTAGCACCGGTTTCCAAGAGGATCTTTTCATCAACCACATCTGCTCCTAAGCGGATTAGGGCTAACTAGGGTCTGTCGCACGTGATCCTTAAGGGCCACCGAGGCACCGCCGCACAGCCACCGCTGAAGAAAGGCGAGGTCTTCCTCGGAGCTTGTGGGTCGTACACACGTACATACACATAAAACAAACATCTGCTCACAAATATGACACACACCCTATTCACCAGAGTTTAGACAGGTCAGGTGGCGTTGCCGTCACGCTTCCCGAGAAACCAGCTTTGCACGCGCAGCCGCTGGGAATGTCGGTGCCTGCAAATCAAGCCAACGACCAGCCCACAGTAGCTCAAACACGGGAAAATCCCCTTTTGAACAAAACTCAGAACAAAAGCCCGACATGATCTTCCCTAACATCTCAAGAACCCTACAATACCTCCCCAACCCAAACCCCCCCCCCCCCCCGGTTGTCAAAACCAAGCCGAGCCGAGCAGCCAGAAGAGCCGGCCGGGCAGGCTTCGGCTTTGCATGTCCCAGTGTACCAGGGCCTGCCATCTTCCGAGTAATTCTTCCCGAAACCCTACACCCCCATAATGCCCGAAACCCTTTAAGCCCCAGACCCCCAACTAGGGTCTTCGGGATCTGGGGGGTTTCTGTTCGGGCGTTTGGGATCTAAGAGGGCTCTTTAGCCCTTCAAGTGCTTAGGGCCTCAGGGGTTTGAAGGTTCATGGGACGTCATGACTTAGGCTTGTATGAGGGTTTAGGGTTTAGGGTTTAGAGACCTCAAAGGAGGGTTCGAACAAAATCTAAGAGTTACCCTAGTTATCAGCCCAGATATAACGACCATGAACCCTCCAAGTAGGGAGAACTTTCGCGAATGGAAGGCCAGAAGCCCGGCTCCCTGCCTCGCATCATCACCAGCGATTTCCCCGGAATAGCCTGGCCAGTTCTCAACATGATGGTCTCTTTCTGGGGTACCCAAAATCTTCGGGGCCGCCTTGTAATATTAACCCCAAGGGTCGAAATATTGGGGGCAGCCTTATCATGTTTGCCCCAAAAGGGGTTTAATTTAGAGAAGAAACCCCGCCTGAAAGGGGTTTAGGGTTTCGCCTGGTCTTGCAGGGCCTAGGGAATGCCACGACAGCTGCTGCGCATTGAGAAGGACTCGGGTTGTTTGTGGCGCAGGTCGCCTTGCCCTCTGATAGAAGACACTTTGACTGCTCCTAGGGGTGCTGGGGGGCGTTAGGCTTTAGGCGCGTGGTCATGCTGTTTATCCGTTTTTGGTACTTGCTTCGCATGAAGAATCTAGCAATCACTTCTCGTACTTCGATGTGTCTGCTTCGTTGAACTGCTGGCGACAGTCACGCTCAGCCTGAAGAGTGTGTGTGGTGAGAAACTACTGCCTGCCAGGCAGTCGCATCCTCCGGGAACGTTGTTACCTCCAGGGGGGGCGATCTTCGGATCTCTTTGGGAGGCTTGGGAGGCATGGGAGAGGGGCACTTCCCAAAATAGGGGGGTCACCACCAAAAACCGACAATCCTTATTCTGGCAACCCCCCCCCCAAAAAAAAAATAATAATAAATAACAAATACAAAAAGTAAATAAAATAGGCACAACCCTATTTTCAGCCAGGAATCCCAAGGCAAAACCGAAACCCTAAACCCCCTCGTCAGTGGTGACACTCCAATCGTGGACGCTTTTGAACCCAAACAACAAAGAACAAACCTACAAAAGCGAATCCGAGCACGGTGACGAAACCTGCTCAAGCCGTGGCAACCTGGCCACGGCTTGAAAGGAAACTCTCCGACTATCGGCACTCCGTCACAGTCCCAATTGGCCTTCCGTGTTGTCAGGGCAGCCGACTGGAGTGCACTTGCCCGTGTAGAAGGGATCGGCCTTCTGAGTATCCCGGAGGTGACTCTCACATTCCACTCAACCTAACAGTTGATTTGCAGCCTTCTACACCAATATCAATTTGCTCGAAGAAATTGGCAGAAGCTTGACCTAATTTGTTCGCTTTTCGCAAGTCGATGATATGGCACGCTTGTGTAGATATACTACTATGATTGCTAGTACTATTACTCTTACTATTTCTACTTGTTTCTAATACTGTATTATTACTATTACTACTATTGTGATGATTGCTATTCTTGCTCTTATTCTTTCTACTATACTTCATTCAATGCAGTTTACGGTTTAGGCGGTTTAGGGACAATAACAATCTCCGCCTTGAAACCATTGTTGTGGGGCCTTGCAATGGTTACCATGTGCATGGTGGGGCTGTCAGGATGTCCGTGTTCGGGGGAACAAGTACGATGGCGATAACAAAAACACAACAGTAATCAGAACCATAGACCATAATAACAGCAGTAGTATCAGAACAAGAAGAAGGGAAAACTCAAAACAACAAAAACCCCCATGTTATGGACATGCAAGCGGACGCTGGCAAACAGTAAGCATACGATTGCCGCATTCTCATGGCCTGAGCTATGAAGAATCAGCAGCGCAAAAGTGCCGGAAGTCAAGTGCGCGCAAACTGCTTGGCAGCATGATATCTTCCAGATTCTGGTTGAACGAGCTTCCAAAGGTCAAAGACTTCAGAGCGCTCGGTAGCGTGACGCTTTGCAGACTCTGATTGTAGGCAAAGCCAAATGTCAATATCTGCAGACCGCTTGGCAGCATGACGTCTTTCAGACTCTGGTTAAAGTCACAACCAAAAATTAATGTCTGCAAACTGCTTGGTAGCATGACGCCTTGCAGACTCTGGTTGAAGTGAAAACCAAAGGTCAACGTCTGCAGAGCACTTGGTAGTGTGACGCCTTGCAGACTCTGGTTGAAACTAACGCTGAAGGTCAATGTCTGCAGAGCGCTTGGCAGCGTGACGCCTTGCAGACTCCGGTTGTAGGCAAAGCCAAAAGTCAATGTCTGCACACCGCTTGGCATCGTGACGCCTTGCAGACTCTGGTTGTAGGCAAGGCCAAAAGTCAATGTCTGCAGACCGCTCGGCAGCGTGACCCCCTGCAAACCTTGATTGAAGCTGTCGCCAAAGGTCAACGTCTGCAGAGTGCTTGGAAACGTGACGCCTTGCAAACTCTGGTTGAACTTCGAGCCAAAGGTCAACGTCTGCAGAGCGCTTGGCAGAATAACATCCTTCAAACTCTGGTTAAAGACACCACCAAATGTCAATGTCTGCAAAGGGCTTGGTAGTGTGACGCCTTGCGGGTCTTGAAGACTCTGGTTGAAGGCAAAGCCAATAGTCAATGTCTGCAAACTGCTTGGTAGTGCGACGCCCTCCAAACTCTGGCTGAAGTTCTTTCCAAACGTCAACGTCTGAAGAGCGCTCGGCAGCGTGACATTTTTCAGATTCTGGTTGAATTCGTCGCCAAAGGTCAACGTCTGCAGACTGCTGGGCAGCATGACATCCTTCAAACTCTGGTTGAAGTCAAGACCAAAAGTCAATATCTGCAAACTGCTTGGTAGCGTGACGCCTTGCAGACTCTGGTTGAACTTTGTGCCAAAAGTCAATGTTTGCAGAGCGCTGGGCAGCATGACGCCTTGCAGACTCTGGCTGTAGGCAGAGCCAAAAGTCAATGTCTGCAGACCACTTGGCAGAATAACATCCTTCAAACTCTGGTTAAAGACACTACCAAATTCTAATGTCCGCAGACCGCTTGGCAGCGTGACGCCTTGCAGACTCTGGTTGAAGTCAACACCAAAAGTCAATGTCTGCAGACCGCTTGGCAGCATGACATCCTTCAAACTCTGGTTGAAGCCAGCACTAAAAGTCAATGTCTGCAGACCGCTTGGCAGCGCGACGCCTTGCAGACTATGGTTGTAGGAAAAGCCCAAAGTCAATGTCTGCAGACCGCTTGGCAGCATGACATCCTTCAAAGTCTGGTTGAAGTCAAAGCCAAAAGTCAATGTCTGCAAGCTGCTTGGCAGCATGACATCCTTCAAAGTCTGGTTGAAGTCAAAACCAAAAGTCAATGTCTGCAAGCTGCTTGGCAGCGTGACGCCTTGCAGACTCTGGTCGAACTTCGTGCCAAATGTCAATGACCGCAGAGCGCTAGGCAGCATGACGCCTTGCAGACTCTGGTTGAAGTTAACGCCAAAGGTCAATGTCTGCAGCCCGCTTGGCAGCGTGACATCTTGCACTCTCTGGTTGTAGGCATAGCCAAAAGTCAATGTCTGCAGAAGGCTTGGCAGTAGGTTGCCTTGCAGACTCTGGTTGAAGTCACGGCCAAAGGTCAACGAGGTAATTGCATCCATGGCGCTCGCATCTTCAGCCTCCGTTTGCCCATCGAAACCATCAATCCCTAACTTGCGTCCCAGGCCCCTGGCAGCGTCCCCCATGCCCACTTGGTGGACCACATAAAAGATCGGCTTCTGGCCCGCCTGTGACAGGAGGTCCTGGGCATCATCCAGGACATTCCCGCCAGATGTCAAACGCAGCTTCTTTCCTTTCGGAACGCCGATCTTCGCAGCAATGGCCGGAGTGACATCCGACGGCCTTGCTTGATCCTCGATCTCAATCTCAACTCCGGAGCCGCCCAGAGCATGGATGCACAATTGCCTCTTTTTGCCTAAGGACAGCCCACCTGCACCAGGCCCTGTAGCCATGGCCTTTAATTTTATGGATCGCAGAAGACACAAGCAGCCTTGCCTGCTCAACGAAAGCGATAACGAGAAATGGCCATGACAACGACTGATAGAGCCAGTGCCAATCACATCCATAACATGAACTTGAACAAAAGCCTGCAACCGATCAAAAGATCATCGCGATTTCAGATTACCCCATGTTGCAGCAAGGCCGCCGTTGCTGCGGTGATCTTGCCCTTGTAACCTCGGCCGCGCAGCTTCGAACGTTCTACGACTACTGGGCTCAAGCACCAAGACTGCGCCAATCCACTCCCGAAGCGAACCTTCTCAGTTCCATCTCCAGCGGTGTTGCTTTTGACTCTTGCAGAATTAAGCGGTCCATAAGCGGTCCCGCCCTTTTTTAAAGGCCGCGCCGGTGATCACAGCCTGTGCATCAAGCTTTCTGGTGCGTCAAGCATGAAGCATAGACGCTGCAACAGCACTGGTGCATGAATCCAAAGCAGCTAAAGCAGCTAAAGCAATGCCACAAAGGAGCCGTTCTTGCACTTGCAGCCGCTGGGCACGTCAGTTCCTGGCCAGAGCCAGGCCGAGGCCCAAAGCTGAGAGCATCATCGTGCCAGCTCTTGCATCTTCATGGGGAGCTAGAGAATTAAGCACCTTTATATTGCCCTATATAAAATCTTGCGGGGAGTACCTAAGAACCGCTAAGGACAACAGAAGCAGGAGAACCGTACAGGTCCGCTATGGTGCCAGATCGGAGTTTCCCTACGCTGAGATCCCCCTAAATCCCTTTAGACGGGGCTTCCGTACAAAAGAAAATGAAACACAAGCTTTAGACGATGAAAGTGGGGAGGATGCTTGCGTGACAAGAGCTGTGAGGGTGGTGAGATGCGCAGTTGCAGAGTCCTCTTAGACTGGCTTCCAGTCCGTATAAGAACCCAAAAGCCTCAAAAGGCATTCTGAGAAGAAGACTCTTTCTCCCTGTGAGCCTCTGCCTCTGAATGTGTTGGGATTTAAGTTTGAGGGTTTTGGCGGAAGGGCTCTAGGGACTCTAGGCATTCTCTAGGCCTTTGGGGTGCCCACGTGTGCCCACTTCCACCCCAAGGAGATTTTCCGAAGAGCCTTAAGAGCCCTCGGTCCTGTCGAGTGCTTGGGGCACGCGACTGCTTGGCACGTGCCCTTGTAGAACGGCGTCGATGCCGCCTGTGGAATCCGAAGCCAGAGACCACCGAGAGGCCACATTAACATTGTGCCTTGCTAAGTTGTTGGGGGAAGTCACCGAGGCTATACTGGCGGCTTCGTCCCAAGTTCCGTCTCCAAGAGATTATAACAAGAGCTCGTGGCAAATTGTGACACACAGGAGAGAGACCAGTGAAGGATTCACCTGCCATGTGCCCTGGTGACCTCCCGAAGCGACTCAAGACATGCTAGTTCAGGGTTGGAGGGTTTGGGGTTTAGGATTTAGGGGTACTAAATGTTACCAGATGCTCCTTGGGCCCCTGTCTGCTTTTCGTTCATGGGCTGAAGAGGCCAAGGGACTGCCGTGACGGAACCCTTGAACCTTGGAGCACGTCTGAGACATGGGCCACTGGCACTGCAAAATGTTAAGAGACATTAAGTTCACTGGCTGTTGTACCCGCTGACTTGATTCCTATCAGCCAGGAGCATGCACGTAACGTTGTTGCGTGGCATCCGCCTCTCATTCAAATTACCCCCAAGGGGATGATTCTCATAAGGCTCAGTCGCAGCTCAGTCTACCGAGTCGCCCAGCGTCGCAGGTACAGCCGGCAGGGACGTTGCTGCCAGAAGAATGGGCTGGGCAATCCACGGCTGTGCACGCGCCCTTGTAGAACGGGGACCTCAGGCACGACATTGCATGACATTTCGTTCAGCTTCATATGTGGGCCGCGTGACTGGCAGAAAAAACCAAGTCACTTCAAGCCTTTCGCGAAGTCAGGCACTTTCACTCAATGTAGAACCAGAGACCCATAAGCCTCAACCCTGAAGTAGCTGGGCTGCCAGCCAGCATCCCTTGCCCAGCAACACCCTTTCTGGGCCGTGCTAAATTAAATGGGTGGCCTTGAAAGCATGGTCGAGTGCAGCCCTAGGACATAGGGCCTATGCCCTCCAGTGCATGGCCTCGCCCCTGAGCTCTAGATGGTATTCAAGTCCTGTCCCGTTGATCCCAAGTGAATCGTGGAAGGGGGGGGGGGGTTGTGCGAGGTGCGGCCTCGTCATGGGGCAGGAATTGAGGGCGCAACCCTGAGCCCAAACAGGCAATAGTTTGTGTGGCCTGCGCTTCGTGCAGCGGGGGGGGGGGGGGTAAGAAGGACTGCGCTGACTCCCCTGTCATTACGCACGTGCCACGCACCATATGGCCAACACCCACAATGGAAGCGGTGGTATGTGCATGAGATTTTAGGCTGTGCGGGAACATGCCCTAAATCCCGATTCCTGAAGCATTGAACCCTGAGCACCAAGTTTGGGGCCTCTTGTTGTTGTTTCTTGAAACGTTTCTTGTTTTTCCCCTTGTTTATTTTTTTGGGGAGGGGGGGGAGGGGGGAAGGGCGATTCGCCGATTGACCGTAGAAACATCCCCAAGCCCCCAGAACAAACTACATCCGAATCCAAGGCGCGCATCGGAGGCTGTGATGGTGCCGGAGAAGCCGGCATTGCAGCTGCAGCCGCTGGGGACATCCTGGTTCTAGGGTTTGGGGTTTGGGGTTTAGGGTTTAGGGTTTCGGGTTTGGGGTTTAGGGGTGAATCTAGGCTTTGGGTTTATACTGTAGCGCCCACAGCGCTGGGCTTATGGTTGCCGATAGGACGTATCGTGTTAATACGGATTTGTACGATTCAAGGTTCTCCCCGATGTCGCAAGTTGCTTTCTTGTTCTGAATTATAGGGGGTGACAGGACGCAAGAAAACCAAGCGAACAAAGATACCGGCAAACAAGCCCCACGAAAAGAGAGTGAGAGAGAGAGACAGAAAGATACAAGTTTTTGAAAATTTTTTGGCTCGCTCACTCACTCATTCTTCCGTCCCTCACGCATTTAGTACTATTAACCGCGAAACCCATTCATGTTCTTCATTACTTCTAGTGCTCTCTCATCATGCAAGGCATCGTGCATAAAGAACGTTCCAAATGGTCTCAACACTGTTCATGCAGTCGAGGCGCCGTGCCAGAGGAGTCTGCTGGGCACGAGACGGCCGCGCATGCGCCAGTGTAGAAGGGGGAGGCTTTGCTGGCCTTGCCAAGAAAGCAGAAACCTATCAAACCAACAAGGGCCTAGATGCCCAAGAAGCTCTCTCCAAAACACCTGCCGTAAGCCTTATCAGCCCTATTGCCGCTGCAATCTTATATGTCAACCACCCCATGGCCTAAGCAGAAGGCCAGAGCGTGTTTCCTTGGTTCCCGGCCGCGATGGTGCCGGAGTACCCAGCGTTGCAGGTGCAGCCCGCCGGCACCTTTGGAGGTCTCGGAGTCCCCGCTGAACATTTTTCAAAGCAGGCTCAAGAGGGATGAAATGAAAAATTTACTTAGGCTCAAAGAAAGGGCTTCAAATCTCAAGAATACGCAGATTGCTTCAAGGGATTTTTTTTTTTGGGGGGGGGGGTTGGGCGGGGTTGTTTTTTATGCCTTTTCGTGGCATCCTTGGCCGAGGCGCATGGGCACCCTCAGAGTTGGCTGGGCACGCCACCGTGGAGCACGCCCTTAGCACACGGAGCTGGGAAACTGAGCTCGTAAGACTGGCTGGTTCTTCGTAGGGAGCGAGGGAATGAGGGCTCTAAAAAATCCCTTAAGGGGTAAAAACAGGGCCCTCATTCCCTCACTCCCTTCAAAGGACCAGGGGCAAGACCCATCTCTCCAAGCCCTTACACACTCCTGGGCCCTTCGCCCGGAGAAGTACGGGGCGGAAGTCGTTGCGCCTGTGGCGGGGTGGGGTGGGGTGGTTGCGGCAGTCAGCAAGACCTTACGAGTACCATCATTATACCGGACACATTGCGGTAGCTTCATTCACATCCCGGAGCCCTATGAACCCTAAGGAAACCCTGTGGATCCTAAGTTCCTTGCGAGCAACCCTCCCGAGAAGCTATGGAGGCCAGGGGGCCTACATCCCTCCTCCGCGGTTAGGTGCTGTTGGGTTGAAGCATTTGACTGGAGGGCTTGGTTCTTTTTTTTTTTTGGGGGGGGGGGGGGGGGGGGGGGGGGAGGGGGCAGGAGTCTTGAAATGAAGTTCCACCTTCGACTACTGCAAAACTTAGAAGGCGGTTTCTCTACTTCTATCGCCCTAAACCATACACTAGGTTAGGTGGCAGGGAGGAGGTGTGTGGGCAGTCACACTGAAATACACGCAACCTCCAGGGCCACAGACGAGTTTCTGGGACCCGGGCTGATGGTGCCAGAGTGGCCGGCATCGCAGCTGCAGCCACTGTGCACAGCATCGCCGGATGATCCTAGAAAGCCGAGCGGAGGCCGCAATGGGGTCAAAAGGACATCCCTGATATAACCCAAGGCCTGATAACGCTACTGCGTTCTGCTCGTATTCCGACTATGTTGCGACTCTTCGATACCATCGAAAACTTTCCAGGCCTATTCATTAAGAACCATTTGGTGCTCAAACCCTAAACCCTCAACCCTAAACCTTTTCGTTCTCTGAGCCGGATCCTGCAGGGCAGTCCACAGCATCGCAGCAGCCGCTGAGCGAGTTCGCCACAGTGGTGCTGGCCTTGGGCTTGTAGCCTGGCCGCACACAAACAAGGTTTAGGGTTTAGGGTGTAGGGTTTAGGGTGTAGGGCACTTCTGATGCCTATGACCTGTGGCATCTGATGCCGACGTTTCGAGGTTTTGGGTCAACTCGGCTCTGCTTCCCCTTTACATCCAGCTCGTAGTGGGAACACGCCAATGACCCACGAAGACAAGCAAGGCGCAGCAAAGGCGCAGCATGGGCTTCTTTCTAGCTCTCGCCACCATTGGGCTTCTTTGTTTTTTCTATGGGTGGCAGAGCCAAGCGGCTCCAAGCCAAGAAGCTTAGCACAAAGTGCGTGCTTAAGAGCCCCCGACTCGTGGACCCAACTCTCGGCCTTTGGGGCACGTGTAGAGCGCGCAGGTCTCCACGCAGGTGCCGCTGTAGAAG